GGGAGCGCGGGGCGTTGGATGTTGCATGATGTGACATGGAATCGAACGCTTGAGTTGTGGCCAACAGTGAACAGCAAAATTGTTTTCCTTGGGCACCGACACAAGGTTCTGTAAGACCAATGGTTGCAGGTGCTGAGCCGGTCGCCCGATTCACTGGCACAGCTCGAGCACGAATGGGATGGTCCCTAAGCATGGCCTCTACAGCCACTTGGTGCTTTGAGTACATTTTTCAGCAGCCACGTGTTGTTGTAGGGATGCCAAGAGTCCTAGAGTCCTAGAGCTTCTGGTCATGGAGGTTCTTCTGCCTGTTCTGATCACAATCCTTTGAAGGTTTTGGGATCCTTTAGCTCGTTCATCCAATCAGTGTCGTGTTCGGGTTCCAAGTGTTCAAGTGTCAAGTTACACCTGCAAATGTTTCATGATGCGACGCCACCCCAGAGGCCAGGAGCGGTAGTAACTCCGACACCTAGCACGAATTGCAGCCATTCCAACAAACTGCCCGCAGCGCCCCCTCCTGACAGTCTTATACTGCCATACCATATTCCGATATTCCTCCGCCTTGAGCAGTGTGTGTCAAGGTACTTAAAAGGTCTAGTCTTCGCCATAGATCGAAAGACTGGCGCAACAAGCCCCATCTTTGGCCCAAGGTCCTGGCTGTCGGCTCGCCCAAGAGTGGAGCATCGATGATGGGAAGCACCAAGCTCTTCCAACTAAGCTCCCTGAGCACGGTTTTTGCCTGACATGCCAGAGCAGCCGTCGTGGATTGAGCCGGAGTGGTGGGAGCGGCTGTCGTTTCATGGGCCACCGCAGTGATTTTTCCGCGCCAACGGTTGTGCTCATCAGGCGGCTTCCAGGTTTGAATGCGAAGCTCCTTGCGAGGCAGCTCTGCTCATGAGAATTCCAGAAAAATGGAGTGATCATTGTGCAAGGAAACCCGACAATGGTGTTCTGTTTTGGGGGCTTTGTGGGGAGTGCTTTCCGGCCTTTTCTTCAGTGCTGATCATTGATGAATCCCAGCGCATCCCAAGTTCCGCATTTTCTTCAGGTTTTATGAATCACTTTTTGGGGATGTGTGCCAAAAGTCTGCAGGGCCCTGCAGGGCCTGCAGGGCGGTAGTTGTACGGACATGTGCAGCCATCTCTCACCAGCCACTTAGTTCCCCGAGACATCACGCCCAAGCTTCCTGGAGGTCGATCCTGAGCTGGCCCTGTCATGGACAATAAGCTCGACAAGCAATGCAAACAAGTCCTCTGTTTGGGTTTTCCACTCTACATCCATAACCTGGTTCAAAACCTTCAAGAAGTGAGACAACCAAGCTCCATCCATCCCATAAAACCACCGATTGCGGTATGTGTTGGGGTTGCGGCAATGGTTGCAGCATTTTTCCCTTGCTGGCACGGCTGTGCCCAGGAATTTGGCCTACAACGGGGGGGTGGCAGATACTGCAGGTGTAGCAGTCCAGGCAGGCTCGGAGGGGAGCAGGTGGGCTCCAGCGAGCGGTTATGCTGGTGTAGCAATGTTTATTCTTCTGGTCTACGCGGAGGGATTTGCTTGAGGCTTGCGCTGGTTTGAGTGGGGACCAGGAGGCACAGAATGAGTTCTGGAATGTTCTTGAAGTAACTTCATTTTTACGGAACGATGCACCAGTCACGGGGACGGCTACCAACCATCCAACATTCAACCGATTCAACCCTTCAATGGCGAGAGATTAGAACCAGCTTAGCCACCTGGATGCCACGCCATGTGTCACCCTCCTTGCAGGCTCAGCAGGAAGACCGGCCAGGTCATGACAAGATCGACTGTGTGACACTGTGGCACATGTTTCTCGAGGATGTGTTCAAAAACATCCCGGTGGGTTCGTTACTGGCCCACGTTTTGGTTCATTTCGTGCGTTTGCACGCAGCGAGAAACACATTTTATCGGCGAAAACGGGTCGCCGAAACCAGGTCACCATTTCTTAAAAATGCAACGCTTCCAGGGTTTTTGTCCTGAAAACGGGACGGTTTTTTTTCGAGGGTGTTTGAGTGTTTGCTTAAGAGCTTTCAAAATGCTGCCAACATTTTCTTTCCCACATTCAGAGCAAGCGAAGCTGCTGCGCGGTATGCGTCAGTATCTTTTGGGTTCCGATCTCCCATCTCCACTGAAAGGATCGACAATACCGCCACAGGGCTGGGTTGCGCTTACCTTTCTTCAGGGAAGCCAAGGAACTCTATTGCAGGATTTGCCCGGGTGGAGAACATGGCGCTAAAAACACGTCAAAGCATGCCTCTTGGGTTTCCAAAAAAAGAACTCTGAACCGCTCGTCTCTGCAGACAGTTCTCAGTAAAATATTCCTCTTCGATAACTAAAATCCAAACTGCTGCAGACACTTCTCGAAAACATTCATCTTCGATTCCAAAGAATAAGAAAACGAATCTCTGAAAAACTCAAGAGAAAAGAGCAGGGACAAAACACAATACTTCTGAAACCGAAGGCAACATATCAAAATCCGATGACGATGTTGTGAAACCGATGACAATGCTGTGAAACCGAAGACAATGTTGTCAAGCCGAAGGTGCTCATACTCATACCATCACAACCCCACCCACCCCACCCAACCCATTTTTAATCACACGACTCATCGATGACAATGTTGTGAAACCGATGACAATGTTGTGTGAAACCGAAGGTGACAAATCACATCATGAAATGGATGAAATAGCCCCAAACGTGGGCCGGTAACGAAGCCGACAGCAAAAAAACATGTCCCACAGTGTCGCAAATCTAACAAAACGTAACAACATACCAGCTGCCAAGGGTGGAAAAGGGGTTACCAATGGACGGGCCCCTACACTGCTTATAGGTCACCAGACAGGACACCCAGTGACCCAGTGTCTGCGCTAGGTATAACAAACTCTTTCGGATGTTCTATTTTCTTCATTTTCTTTGTCCGGACTTCTTCCAACGATGCCAGGGCTGGATCAAATCCCCGGGGCATCGGAAGAACTTGCTGGGCGCCTTTGACCTGTGTGGCATCGGACGCCTTGGCCAAGCGGACCGTTCGGCCTGACGTGGGTGCAGGTGGGTGGTGGGCGGTGCGTGTCACAGGTCCGCCATGCACCTCGTAATTACAAGATGTTTCTATATTATATTGCCAGAACCTGCTTCTCTTTATGGCTTCATTACCGCAGGTATCTTGGATGCTTCTCGAAGTGGCCAGTGACATTGTGACATGCTCACCATATCGTGTCGCGGATTTTGGAGCTGGACTGTGGCCGGCTGCCAACTTAGGAGTCGCAAGGGCGAGCACTGGGGAGTTCTTCTTCACACAACTCTTTGCGCGGAGCGCTGGTGGCCCTCTTTGTTGATGTCATTAACGCCCACCTCCTGATGAGGCCAGGCACACCGTGGAGACTTCATGAATTCACCGGATGGATTGTGCTGAATGGTTGCGTCGGTGTATCACAAGCTTGGGCTAGGGGTGTGTTTGGGGTGTGTTTGGAAGTTCGCGTGACTACCTATGATAAACTACGTAGGTGGAGGGTTGGATGAAAGGATATGATGGGACAAGTTGGGGGTAAAGAGTTCTAGTGTCACCTGTCGTGTATCTTCGCTCCTCACCGCACCTTGAAGATCCAGAACTTGCAGGTGGCAGGCCGGCACTTGTACAGGCACGCCGCAAGCTCAAGACCACAGCACAGGGTGAAGAAAAGGCCTTGGCTTTGCAGCGGGGTGCATTTTGAGGGCCTTGTTTTTCTGAGTACGGACCTCCCATCAGGTCCTATCAGATGGCATTTGCCCAGTGGTGCACAAGCTTTCCTTATTTTTGACCCTTGCACCACCACCTGGAGCACTCATCCAGGAGTTGCCTTGGTGTGGCCCCAAGGATTGCTAAGGAGATGTGCCAGATGATTTGCACTAGGAATCCCTGCGCTGCTGAGGGCATTGTGCGTGCTAGTGGGTACTTGATCGCGTATCAAACAATGACTGAGCTGTGCATCGGCATCTCAGTCTGGCCATGATGCAGCAGCGGCATCAGCGATGTATCATCAATTCAATAGTCATGTTCATGTTCTACCAGTTTGCATGTTCGATATATTACATATCAGATCACACTGAAGAAATGGTGACATGCATCACATCCTCCGACTGTGGCTACCTTCTGAGACTGTCTCAGACTCATTCCAAGGTGGTGACGATTTGCAGCAAGCATTTTGAAGGCCCGGCCCAAGCTCCGGTCCGGCCGGCGACCTGCATGGTGACCTGCTCAGCTGTGCAGGTCAGGTCATGAGCTTCTTGGAGAAGGAGGGCCGCCTGGTTTTGGAGGCCTTCGTGTCATATGTGTCATGAAGGGTGCAGCGTGGTAGGTGTTCTGGTCTTGGGAATGGGAAGGCTGGGGCTGGGGGTGTTGGCGATTGCTTCGAGAATTTGCTTGTCCTTCTATTTCTTTCTGCATGTCCTGCAGAGCAGTCCAGAGTCTGCTACTTGAGGGTTGTCTAGGACTTGAGGGCTGTATCTGTTGGGGGATCTCATTGCCCTACTCGCTTAGACACAACTGCACGGTGCTTTCAAATCAGGAAAGCCTGGCCTTTGACAACAAGGGTTGGACACAGCCTCAACCTCAGGGTTCTGGTGAACTACATGCTACATTCTCCGTTTGATCTCTGCACCCCTCGCCCTTTTCCAGCAAGAAACGCTTGCCCTAGGTGCAAGCTCTATGTGGCACGCAAGCCTCTCGAGGCCACACAGCAGAATCGTCCTCATCTGCATTTCAAATGGCTGGAGCGGCTAGACCGGTTGCTCGAGAGCGAACAGATCGGTAAGAAAACATGCACAAGTGCTTGACAAGTGCAACTGAGACGTGAAGTGTGGCAAAGTGTGATGGGGTGATACCTGATGTAATGAATAGAGTGCGGCAAGTTGAACCAATCGTTCAGTTGATTTAGATCCTTAATTGTCTTTCTTCTTCATGTTGCATCAGCCGAAAGATTTGTTGTTACTTCACTCTGTCACTTTGAAGCAGTTGCAGGTCTGACTGTTGGTCAGTGCGTTTCCAGGGAGTGAGCCAAGCAGGCGAATCCCATGCGAATCGGCCGCGTCGGAGGATTTTGGATCATAGGATTTGGACCCGTCTGAACGGAACTTCGGATCGCCCAGCTTCAGATAGCAAGCCATGGCGGCCTGGTTCATTGTTGTCCTATCAGTGCCACTTGCAGCAGGTGGGGGTCTTCCCTCCAGGGGTCAGGAGCAATATTCAAAGGCAAAGACGTGCAAAGAGGATCAAAGGGGGAGACAGCAATATTCAATATGAGGGATTTAGCATGATTTGATGTCCATTACTATTATATGATATATATATATATATATACTATGTTATGTATAGATCTGTATAGTGTTTTGTCTTGATGCACTGCTGTGTGACGCCTTGGCTCGTCAGGTGACAACTCCTTGTTGCACCCCTTGGCACTGGAGCGTCCCGATGCCAGCGTGTTTCCATTGCCCGCACAAGCTCGTCACCTTCCACCCTTTGGCACGGAAGTGGATGGGGCGAAGGCCACCAACAAATTCTGGGCCAATTGGGTGGTCGAAGAAGGTCGCGAGTTGTGACTTTGAGGCATTGGTGCGGCCACTGAATGTCTGGGTGGTTGAGGCTTGAGTCAGGCCGAAACGATGCTAAGAGTGACACGCAATTTTTTGAATAAAGAAATCACAATGGAAAAGATCATCTTGCGGACAGTAATTGTTCAATGAGATGTCACACGTGCCAGTGGCTTTTTTCTGACCGCATGCACTCTTTTTTGAGGGTGTCTCTGTGCAGAATGATGCCGAATGCGCTTGTTGGTCAGTAAATTATGTCCATCCGGTGGCTTGTCACTTTCACCGGTTGAAATGGTGTGTGATTTGTGGTCTCAGGATGTTCCTGTTTTCAGGTCCCGGAGCCATTCTTCAAACAAACATTTAGCTGCCTCCAATCCCACCTCCGCACCTGCGAATCATGCTGAAGGACATCTGAAAGACACCCCAGCAGTGATGGAGCCCCTCAAATCTACGACCCATGTGTGCGCTGGGTGCGCTGAGGTCCATCCATGCCATGCCCTATGTCTTGCGCTATGATGCTTCCACCGGACAACCGAACATGAAGGTGTCCCGGGCCAGCAGTGACGCCCGAGTCATGCAGTATGGTGATTCTGAGACCAACGGTGGGGAAAAGATCAGGTACTACTTCTCACCCTTCGTGAGCGAGTTTGGCTTGTCAGCACTGGAGGTCGCCAGCCAAGAAGGACAAACGATTGTGAAGGAGGGCTTGTTCGGAGTTCATGCAGAGGTGCGCGGACCCAGCGGCACTGGACGCAAGATCCTTTTCCCCATCTACAGTGGCATGGCTTATGTCTCCGGCTTCTATACGGGATTCACTCCGAAGATTTCATCCGACCGAGCCTTGCTTGTGGTTGAGCGCGTCAGCAATGGAATTTGGAGACTCCTCAACAATGGTGGAAAGGAACCTTTGGCCAGACATCTGCATCGCTTTCAAAAAGGTTTCACCCCGCAAACAAATCCCGTTCTTTTTCTGAGTATTTAGTTTTCCTTGGCCCTGCACACATGCCCCACAGTGCAAGAATCTTCTGGTATGGTTAAACCTTGTGAAGCTCCTTTCTACTTCAAGCTATGGAGGAGTGCTATATATTTGCGAGCTGGAAACAGCAACAGCCAACTGAAACTCTTCACATGTTTCCCACCTGATGTCCCATTACTCCTGCTTTTGTCCAGGAATTCCGCTTGTACGCCCTGGACGCCTCTGGTGCCTTTGCCGACGAGTCCTTCGACTTCACGGCTCAGGGGACGATGACGAAGGCCTTCGAGGGTTGGATTCGCCTGGCCGAAGTGCAGGCACCTGAGGATCGAGACATCTTGGACTTTCACGCTGCGGCGGTGCTGGTGGATTGGCACCTGGAGCTGGAAGCTGATGGCTTGATCACGTGACCGAGAGTGTCAGTTGGGGTGAAAGGAAGTTGGATCAGAATGGATTAGACTGATATCATGGTTGATGATGACCTTACTGAACACTCGAACTCGAACCCCCAGAATATGAGAACCGTTGGCATCCGAACTCTTTGCTCAGTTTGCTCCTCCGCACCTGTTGTGGTCTTGCCATCAGGTACCGCTTCACCAAAGATGCCGCTGTTCCAAAGCAAGTCTTGCACTTTGCCAACGCACACCATCAGAAGCTCTTGGCTGGCAATACGCAGGCATCCCTGACGGTCCCTGTGAAGCTGCGTTCACCGGTCCTTCGTATGATTTCGATGACCGGTCCTTCCCAAAACATGATGAGATATGATGAGCCATAGCCATGGAGGATGAAAGCAGGAGGGGACGCTCATCATCTAGTGAGTCTAGTGGTTCGACCCCTACTGGCGGCGGTTGTCCAGCAATTGTCTCCGAGCTGGTTGAGGTGTTCGGCTTAACATGGATTAGCCACGTTAATCGCTTGTGGTTGTCTTTAAAGGACTCACCACATGCTTGGCTGAACCCAGTTATTTGGCTGCAGGTGGTGACGCAGCTCACACCGCTGGCTCCGCCAACCAAAGGGCTGATGAAGGGCGTGGCAGGTGCCAACTGCAGTGCCGGGGAGGGTGTTTCCCAGAATGTTCCGGGTCTAGGCCTAGGCCAAGTAGTGATTCATGGGCCGGATTGGGTCAGAACTTCGTCAGCTTCACACGGATGCGGGTGAACATGGGACTGGATGGTGATGCCTTGAGAACCGAAGCACCTGAACCATCTTGGACCTACAGCCGATCGCAGGAGACCTGTGGCACTTGCAGGTGAACGTCTCCGAGACGAGGAGCCTGGGCTTCTTACCGGACACCGAGCCAGACAGCAGTAAGGAAGAGGACTTGAAGCAGAAGGCAGGCACCTGGTCCTTGTGAAACCAGTCCATCCTTGGGACAGTCGGGCAAGCACGGGCAAGGGGAGAAGCGAACCCGATTCCCTTTCACGAACACATTACATGGAAGTGGATGGCACCAGCCTGCTTCTACAAAAAGAAGAGTCATCCAATGGGCCATGCCATCCCCTTCCATGTTAATGGGTCGGAGTGTAATTACCTTCAATGTGGTTGGTCATAGACGTCATAGAGTCATAGATGTCATAGAGGAGATGCAGCACTTGACTTGATGGAAGCAAGCAAGCGCAGAAGCTGTCATTGCATCACTTGGGGTTTTCCGTCATCGCCCTATATCGCCCTGATGTTTTCTTTCCCATGCTGTCAGTCATGACAGGCTTATGGGACTTTGCAATTCTTCCTGCACTCGGATCAGTGGAAGCAAGCTATGTTCAAGGGCAGCTATTATTTCAGTGGCAAAGGCTTTCAGAAGGCCGGCTGCTTTTCTTGGTATCGTGACGCGTTCTTTTCTTGACAGCTTCAACTCACCCTGTCTCCCCGAATCGCAGTGGACCAAACCAAAGGTCGATGTTCCGTTGAGGTGGCCTATACCTGCTTGATGCTGGAGAAGTACTATGGCAAGGAGCACAGCCACACGCAGTCTTGCGCCAATCTGTTAATCAGGCCTAACTCGCTGCCGGGTCACTGCATCGGGCTTTGGGTTTGGAGTAGCCACATGAGTGGGTCACGTGGAATCCCAAGTGTAGTAGTACTAGTAGAGATTCTGACATATCTCAATCTTCGACTCCAAGTTACTTGTGGAGGCCAAGTCTGTATTCCTGAAAGTTCTGGGAGTGGAATGGATTGCAATGGTGTTGTTGGGAGTTCTGTACCGCGGCAGGGGCTTCCAATGTCTCTACGCTCCAACCGTGCCTGAGTGCAACGGTGCTCCTTTGGGCTTGTACTACGACGAAGAGTGGCATGGAGTGGCCAGTCGTGAGGGCTTCAGCGACATCGGGTGCAGGAACGCGGACTTCGGGAATGCATGCTACAACGATCACCACTATCATTTCAGCTGCTTGGAGAGCCAACATCTGTTGTGTTTTTTTGGGGGGGTTGAACCAACAAATGGGAGCGTGTGTGCCGTTTGAATCGTGTTTTGTTTGCTGCTCCCGCCTTTCTGGATGAGATCACTGGATCAGATTCTCCATGCTGGATGGTGGCCAAACTGTTTCGTTTGCTGTGGCTTTTGTTACATGCTGTTACATAGTTGACCAGGCTACTATGTGGTCTCCGCTGCCGTGTTGGTGAAGTTGAAGCCAGAGTTCGCTCAGAACCAGGACCTGATCTCCTTCGTGGACACCTTGATTCGCGACACAGCCAATCCCAGCGTGCAGAAGAGGGGGGGTGGCCAAACGGAAGTGCTTTCAGGCGACTTTTGGGAGCATTTGGCATTTGCCAGATAAAGCAATTCTGATTGAGCTGCTGACATGCTGGATATGTCAGGCAGAAGCTAATCTAAGATTTTGATGGGTAGATACGGAGATCAAGAGCTCAGGTTGCTAGTTGCAGTGCGGTCACACCAAGCTAGAATCTTTAGAAGCTCACTGAACGGAAAGGGGTGCTCATAGTTCGACATGGCCTGGTGATATGCCGGAAGTCGGCGCAAGGAGATCAGATTCGGGATGAAATTCTGGAGATTTGTGGGTCCCTGCAAAGAGGGGCAGCAGGTCCCGTGTGCCACGCGAACTGCCCTCAATTTGACAAGCCAACACATTGTGACATTGTGATACGCACCACCCCTTTGTTCCGGCTGTCACATGCTCCCACATGACGCGACGTGCAGGACACGCACTTCCCCCAGTTCCGTTCCTTCGACTGGTTTGACCTTCACAGCTGGAGCCGTGGGGTGATTCCATCCGCGGATGGTAAAGATCAAGAATCCACATCTGAGGAACTCAACCTTCTGCAGCTGGGCTGAATTCCGCTGGACTCTCCAGCAAGAGTGGGTCGAATCAGACTTGTGATCATTGACCGTGACTTAAACAGTGGGTTGGCATAAAGTCGCGAATGGTGCTGGTGGCATTACAAAGGTGTTGGGGGCTCAGGGGGCGTTGGGGCCGTACACCGGTTCAGTCTCGAACCTCACCGGTTCAGTCTCGAACCTCACCGGTCCCCGTCACAAAGGGTTGTCCTCATTGCAAGGCAAGATCGTGTAAGGTTTTGGCATGCCAAGTGAGTTGGTGGGTAGGGTAAGGTCTGCATGTACGAAATCCAGGTACGGAATCCACCTGTGGGGCATGGTGTTGCAACGCGAGCCCTTGCGGGAACTCGGCACCACGATGCTGACCCTTTGTGCCATGACCATCCGTGAGTTCTTCCTGATGAAGGAGGACAACCCTCACCATCCTGAGGATTTTGTGACGAACCACGTCACAGGCGGGTTAGCCACGCCGTGCCCGTGGTGGCGCGCGTTGAGTCGGGTTGAGAAGAAGTGCATTCGAACGCAGACAGTAGTGATTTCCAGTCTTAGCAGCTAAGATGAGCTAAGCTGTGTGCACCAAAACTGCCAGGCCTTGCATTGAACCAGTTGTCAAACGACGAATTTATATTAGGAACACTGTCTACGCTAACAGATTCAGTTTTACCAGGCATTTTCTTCCAGAACAAGGTGGATTATGCCACTTGGTTCGGCTGGCGCTACGATTTCATCCACGGCATTCAGATGCTTCCGGTGACCCCTGCCCTACTGATGATCCGAACGCCAGAGTTTTGTCGCCAGGAGCTGGCGCCGGCCAAAGCAAGTGATGTCATAATATTATTCAATAATATTCTATATATATATTTATATAAACACATATTTATGCACAACATATTATGGATTTTATATTGCACTGATATAGTAATATATATATATATATAATAAGTAATGTGGGGTTAGATGTCAGTTCCTCCCACGTCCCCCCAAGACAAGTACCTCTCCAGAGTGCCGAGCAGATCCCTGGGACAGCATATGACTGGGAGTAAGTCTGAGACCGGATACTTATGTTTCCAATTCTTTCCCAAAACGCTTTGGTCAACCATTTGGTCAACCATGCTTGACCAAAAAGACACCCTCAAAAACGGCCAGCTGCTCAGCCGGAGGAGTGGGATAACATTCTCTCGCGCTTGCCGTTGAGTCCCACGGACCCCTGGACCTCGCTGCTCGTCACCGGCACCTTGGCGATCATCGAGCCCGAGGAAGCCTACCAGAGGCAGCTCGCCCAAAAGGGGGTTCCAGGTTGAAAACAGACATGTACTAATTAAGCCGGTGGTTGAGTCAGAGACATCATGATTTGTGGGTCTTTGCTGGTCGTCAAAGGTTTGGATTTCCAAGCAGATGTATAGTAATAAACGGCATGTGTAGGTTGAACGCCATGCTGCCTGAGCACATGGACGACGGCCTGACGTGGGCCTGGGCCCTCTATTGGTCCGCCTCGCTGTCCGGTACTGCCGGAGCTCCCAGCACCAGTCTGGTCTCCAGCACTGGGTCCACCGGAGCTGCAGAGGAGAGGCATTTGGTGCGAACGGGTCGAAAAGGCAAACAGGTTTTGAAAAGACCTGGGAAGACACCTTTGGCAAAAACCCCTTCAGGTGTTCTCCATGCCTCCAGATGGCATGCCTCTTTGTCTCTTTTTTGTTGCTTTCTGTCTGATGGATGCAGAATGGGGGTGCCAAATCGCAACACTGATAGGCAGTGGTGCACTTCCATACTTTAAAATCACAGGATGCCACCCCCATGACATCACATGACCTGACATAAAGGGCCAAAGGATGAGAATTGCTTTTCTTCAGGAGAACTTGGCTTTGTACCGACTGGCTGTGGCCTCTTCTGAGCTCTCTGCAGACTTCGCAGCCGCGCGCGCCGTCGATGGCCTCTTCGTCACACGTTGGAGCCCCACTGTGGCAGAGCTGAGCCCGTGGATCTCGGTCGACCTTGGAGCAGTGCACGCCTTGTCCCATGTGGTGCTGTTGTGGGGTGAATTCTATCCCAGCAGTTGCTCAGTTGTCCATATTGAAACTCGAAAACATCTTCTACCTTCATGATCCTTTATGATCAAGTCCGAATTCCATGTCAGACGTCCGTGGATTTCTTGGTCCCCAGTTCTTCAACCAGACATGGTGAAACACCATGCTTGGGCCCCAGGTTACCTCTTGCAGGGAGCTATGGCGAGTGACTGGACCACTCTGGCCGTGGCCCTGGGCTCCTCCGAGTTGCAACGCTTGGACGTGCACGGCACCTTCGCCCGCTGGGTCCGTGTGCAGTGCCAGAGCGGTGGCGACCTGCGACTCTGGGAGTTCCAGGTCGGGCACGGTGGTCTGACAGGATGCGATGGGCGAGGGGGTGAGTTTGCGCAGGTCGATGGGGTTGAACGAATGTGGGGATGGGAGTAGGATGTTTTTACTGGAGCATGTCTAGTTCCCATCAACGAGTGTTGGCAAGAACGGGTCTCACTGGAAGCCCTGCAAGACTTGCAAAGGCTTTTGGCACACTCTACCAAATGCCCAGGTACTTTCAACACACAATCGGTCTGGTGAATTGAGGTCGATGAAGTCCAACTGCTTGAGACACCCAAAAAATTCAGCGTGAATAGTAATAAATCATACTCCATCATAAGCCAAAACATCGTGGACGTGTCAGTTTGGCACAGGTGTTTGAGGATGCGGAAACACCTGTCATCTCCACCACCGAGCCCAGCACCACAGCCAGCACTGCAACTACATCGACTGCAGCAACCACAGCGACCAGCCAGGCTCAAAGCACAACCAGTGTGTCTGATGTAGTCACCACGGTGATCCCCGAAACCACCACAGTCGTGACCAGCACAGTTAGTGGGCCATCCACTACAACTCCATTCTATGGACCGAATCTCGCATCTTGGCACAAAATGGGGCACTGGGAATGCTCATCATTGCTTCAAGAATGTGAGCCAAAGATCAAAGGCTTAGACCTTAGATCTCCTTCACATGGCCCACTGAGGCTTTCCAGAAGCCCGTTCTGTCCTCCTCCTTCCGATCTGCCATGGAACATGCCTACAAGGCGGTGGATGGTGACCTTGACTCCCAATGGGCGTCAGTGGCGATGAACGATCAGTGGCTGTGGGTGGATCTCTTGGGGCTTTATGCGGTGAATCGTATCGTGCTCCTCTTCGGCGATGTGCCGCAGCAGTTTGTGCCTGGGCCGGTCGCATCATCTGTGTTTAGAAGATATACAATGATATACATACATACACACACACACACATATATATATATGTATATATGAGATATATTTATATACAGTATCATACAGCCCAAAACCTGAAGACATTTAGATCATCCCCTCCAAGTGTTCGAATTTTGACGAAGGCTTTGTGACCCCAAATTGGCAAATTGGGGTGCCACGGCCTTCATCTCCGCGACCTTCATCCGCTCCGCGGCCTTCAGGTGCTTCAGACTGCACCTGACGGCATCAAGTGGACCGACCTGGCTACGGTGAACGGAGCTGACGGATTTATCAGCACTGAGTTCAGCCCACCTGCCTTGACGCAGTGGATCAGGGTGCCGCGCTGTAGGTTTTAACGTTGAACATGGAGGGAGTCACTCCTGGAGGGGTAGTGATTGGTAGTGATTGGTTCAAAGGACAGGGAATTAATCCACCGCAAACTGGCACATACTTCAAACGATGTGTGGAGACTTCGCACAAAGCCCTCAAAGAACAGGACAGATCTCTGCAAAGTTGCCCTAATCTCGCTAAATTATTTATCTTGTTGGTAGGAAGGTGCCATCTCTTGCGCAAACAAAGCCAGATTGGCTATATCATGGCTTTCGTGCAGTTAGATGTTTTCCTATGGAAGCCAGGTGGTTTGCCAGACTGCGTGCAGCATTCGGGAGCTCACCATCCATGGCGATGTGCCCGGGGCTAGCACAGCCCCGACCACCTCAAGCACGTTGTCACCAACAACTCCAGCGGTGTCAAGCACTCAGGAAGTAACAGGCACTTCATCCTCTCCGCACACTACTAGCAGTGGAAGCACTGGAACTGTCAATCGACTCTCGACTGATTGCAGCCGTGCTCATTTCCCAGTCTTCTTGTGTCCTCCCTTCCAAATTCCTAGGAGTGAACCTGGCGCAGCAGCGACCAGTGCTGGCCTCCAGCCAGCAGCTGCCAGATGGACATGTGAGTCGCATGACTGACGGGTTGCTGAACACCCAGTGGGCCTCAGCCGTCGGAGATGCGCAGCCATGGGCCTGGGTGGACCTGTTGGGTCTCTACACTGCGACTCGGTCGACGGCGGGGACGGCACAGGGCGGTGAGAAAAGCACCCAGGTCAAGGTCAGTTTTTGCTGGCAGAACCTGTGCCTCCTCCTAGGTAGCAGTGCGGGGCAGGAAGGCGAGAGCTAGGGCAGCTAGGGTCAATGGTAATAACATAGCACAAAGTCGCCACTCTTCTTTTCTTAATGTTTGTGGCAGTGCTGATTTCGCTGAGGTGGCAGAGGTGGCTGTTCATTGGGCTGCAGATGCCGCAGAGTACGAAATACAGACCAGTCTTAATGGTGTGCAGTGGACGCCCATCTCTCCTCGCGCGTCAGCCCTCAGTGGACAAACCGTTCGGACAGTCTTTCCAGGGAACACACCTGCGACACAATGGATTCGCATTGTTCCTGGTCTAAATATGTTGATGTTGTAACAAAGTCTGTTCATAGGATTTCATAGGTGGGTTTTCACACCCAACCACAAAATCTCAACAAGGTTTGTTTATCCTTCGGACCTACCTGCAGCATCAAAGAGCTCTTTGTCTATGACGTGGCCGGGCCCGACTCAGCAACCACGGCAGCTCCAGTAACCACAGCATTGCCGGCAAGCACTGCTGCGCCAGCTTCTTGACTTGCCTTTGCAACTAACTGTAAGTTGCCGAATTGGTAACAAGTTGCTTCACAAGTTGCTGGCATTGTTTGTTCCCATTTTCTGTTCCCATTTTTTGCCACCAAGGCTGAGAATGTGGCTTTGAACAAGCCGGTTCTTGCATCATCGTCCATTTTGCCAGATGAGTTTGCCTCCAGGGCAGTTGATGGGCTCAGCAGCACGCAGTGGCGATCGGCCGCAGGAGATCAATGGATTTGGGTGGACTTGTTGGGGAGGTACACGCTTGATCATGTGACCTGGCCTGAAAAATGTTTGGAGAATGGTGGAAATCCCACCAGTTGATTGGTAGGTATGTGTATATGTATATACACTACACACACACACACATATATATATATATACACATACACATATAGACACTAAGCACCCCTTTGTTATAGGTTCACTGGTTTGAGCTGGTGCAGGGTTTTGTCCATCCGAGAAATGTTGCAAGGACAGGCAGGCCTCCTAAGACGCCTTCAAGGCCGCACAGCACGGCAAGAAGTCTTCCCTGTGTGCGTCAGGTAAGGGTGCAATGGGGCAACCAGCTGCCCAGCAGTTTCAACTTGGAGACAAGCTTCAACGCAGTCACCTGGGCCTCCGCTGTGGCCCAGCAGCAGCCGGAGTCCACATCGCAGCGGGTGGACATTGCCGCCACCACGCAGTGGTTGCGGGTCTACTGCACTGCAGGGTGTAGCATTCAAGAACTGCAGGTGCCGAGTTGGGGAAGCCTTCGTGAGCATGTTGGAAGAAAGGGAGCCAAGACATGGGTTTTTCTGCCTCGTTAAGGATCATCATGTAAATGCTGCCGATGCCCTAGGCTTGGTTGTTTTGAGCCGCATCGTGCTTGTCCACTTGCTCTCTTTGTACAGGTCTATGGCAGCCCCGCCACTGGCCGGCTGTTGGCAGACGAAGGGACCGCACCCATTCTGGTGTGACTTGCCTGCACTCTACTTGGAACTTCAGGACAGGGCTAGCCTGAGCCACTGAACACCCCCAAACTGCAAAAACTTGATTTACGTTCCTTCTGCTCGATTTGGGCCGCCCGAAGACTTGCCACCCTCAGGTAAGACTACCGACCTCACCTTGGTCGGTCGAAGTCAACACTCGAGCCACGGACGAACGTGAGCCAAACTTTGAGGGGATCCACCGGAACCTCAACAGCTCAAAAGGAGCTGTGAGGTTCTTCTTTTTGGCCGGTCCCCAATGTTTGACTTGCAAAAGGATCGATATGGCAGGCTCATTGCTCTGCTGTTTCTTCCTTTTTCTTTTTTCGGAGTTGGGCTTCTAACACCTTCCGTGCTAGAGCTCGATTTCGGACTTTCATGTGACGGGCGGCGATCCTGCACATGGCGACCATCGTGTCAATCGTTTTGGGTGCGGAGCCCCGTAAAACCAAGCATCAGGGTGATTTTGGGGGTCTCCCATTTATTTGAACGTGCTGGCTCAAGGGCTCAAATCCTTCTCCCAAGCGTGGCACTTGAACACAAGCTAACAATTTGAGCCTTTGACACATGCCATCACATCCATTTCGCCTAGCCTCCTTTGCGTTGTTCAACGGAGAACAGCTCTGGACAAGTCTGAACAGACCGCAAAGTTTGGCATGGTTTTCTGTACAGGCCGCTGCATTCACTCCGGCAAGTGTTGAAGTAGTGCAGATGGACGTGTCCTAATGTGCCAGAAAGAGCACACAAACGGGACATAAAGAACGCGAAAAGAGGTGAAAATTAGAGTTCACCCGAAATGGCCAGTTGTTGCACATGTTTAGCGCGTGAAACCTCAGGGTGTGTCCACCTCGGGCAAAACCTTGACTACTGCGGTTCCATGGGAACACTCGAAAAGTTGCATTTTCAATAGCTAGGTTTGCTTGAATTCTCGTATCGCAGATCTTTGAGTAGGATGCTCTCCTTCAAAGTCAGTTCTGGCCATTCTTTACCTATGGCTTTTGCTGGAAGCAAAGCCAGTTCTTGCACAACGGCTGTGAAGGTGCTCCTCAGTGGAAATCTTCACTGTTCCGACATCATCCCACCAATTGCTTGTGCCGGACGTTGGGTCTTGCCCACCGAACATATGGGTCGTTGCCAGCACCTTGCCGCGGCAGCGCCAGCACCGCCGCTGGCGCGACTTCGGCCCGAGGCCCGGCTGCACGGGCACGGGATGCGTCGTACGTCGCTGTCGCAACTACAGTCGCAATTTAAATCAATTCTAATTTGTTACTACTAGTAAGGCACTTGTTACTACTAGTAGCGATGCACTTTTCCTAGTAGCTTCCTTTGTATTAATTTATCATTTTTGTGAGGGTTAATTGGGGGCCATGTTACATGATAACCCGCAAGTGTTTGCTAATTGCAATCCCTGAGAGTCCCTGTTTAGTCTTGAGCTGGAGGTTTGTCTAGCGGTTTGCTCTTGAGATTTGTCTGTGCATGAATGCATCCAAGACAGCTCCTAAGTCCTAAGTTGATCGAGACCAAGCCATGTCGGGCGAAGCAGCAGAAACCAGGGCGGTTAAATGGCTTTGTGCCGTGTTATTCGCTCTGGTGCTGATCATTTGGCTTCTCCCTCTACTCGCCATTTGGCTGGATGAGGCCACAGTGCAGCGACAACCCTTGGACCAACTATTAACCCTTGACCAAAGGGTTTTTGAGGAGTCGCTCATGACCCGGTTGATTGGCTCCGAGTCCGAGTTCATGCCGGCCAAATGCATCAACATCATTCCACATGATGCAGTTGCCAGTGCCCAATTGGCAGAGGATTGCACCACTTGGTGCCATGAGGCTCTTGGCAGCAACAGTGCCACACCCTACATGTTGAGCCCACTGCATGTGATTCGCATCATGCGAAGTTCGTTGAGTGATACTTTCCTGATGTGTTATAAAGCGCAGACAGCATCGTGGGCTTTGCGCTGGATGCCAGAATGGTACAGCGTCTATTTGTATGCAATGCTTTATGGATCGATCAGCATCGTCTTCTTTTGGTGCAGGTGGCTCGCAACATCGCCTGTTCGCAACTCGGATCTGGGACCATCAAATCAATATGTGATCATTCAGAATGACTCAGGTCAGTTGCCTCTATTATGCCCGGATCGTATTGGCTTCAAGAGACATCTTTGGTTGGAGGCTTTCTTTGTTTGGCTGGAGCCCTTTGGAGATGTGGTTTCAATTCTTAGTCTTTTTCGCATTGGGCAGCCATTCCCAGGCATGTTCATGAGCATTGGGTGTGCCATTCCTTGTGTATGGGCAGTTGACCTGTTTCAAATCCGGGGAGCCCTGGCCATTGCAGACAGCTTGCGACAAGGTTTTGCCAACAAGCAGTGGGTGACACACAAAGCCATTGAGCTCAGCGAGATATTTATTTGCACTTCGGTGCAAGTGTACATCCTACTGGCAATGCATGTGGAGATCATGCATCTCAGCACAGTTCTCCCGCTGCCAGCCTTGTTCACTCGATGCCTGCGGCAGCCAGGGCTTTCCGTCCGTGCTGAAGGAACTCGAACAAAAGACCACCCAAAACAAAGAGTCACAACGGATTGCTAGAGTTTCCTCAAAGGGCAGCAGCTTGTCAAGGGGATCATGCAATGAAATTTGGACCTTCAAGGAGCTAGAGAAGGCAAAATCCTCCTTTCCACTGTGGACACGGGTTCTGGCCAACAGTGCTTGCCCACTAGCTGGCCTTGCAGCATTGCTGACTCAAGCGCTTATAAAAGGAGCCTTTGCCCTGGGTCCCATCGAGGAGCAGCCAGGGGTTCTGGGCTTCTTCCGTTACTTCTTCTTCGACATTTTCTTTGACTTGCCCCACAAGCTTGTCAAGGCTGAACTGCAAGAACTGTGGTACGAAATCCAGGTGCAGTGGGTTTGCATAAAGCCGGGGCTTTGTGCCATGCTGCTGGCGATGTTCCGTGTACTTGTGCTGCTGTTCCTCGCCCTTGGAGCTCTGCACCTTTTGTATGATACGGTGCGTGCTTGTGCCGGCGGCCGCGACACGAAGAGACAAGGTCTAGTACGCTTGCCTTGCGACTCTGATTGAGCCTTGAAGATCTTGAAGAGGGACATTGATTAGTTTTTCAAATTAAGGACATGCTGGGAACCTGGGGACAATCACATCATTTATATAATCACATCATCTACATACGGCCTTATGTGTATATACATTAAGATGCTCTATGGAAAGCCAATTAATGGCAACCTCCACCAACCTCCAGTGCAACTCAGAGTCAAAACTGCGGGGTAATGACTGGGCACTGCGATATCCAAAGTGATCGCGAAAGATTTAGAGGCTGCGCCAGCTTCCAACCATTGCCAAACATTTGCGGAGCACGAAGTGGGACGATTGCTCTTCAGCTGACTGTCCAATTGCTCTACCAAAGTTTCGATCTGCATACAGTACAGCATACATCATGTGTTTCTCGCGTCCATGCTGACCAGATAATTATATAATCATTCTCTTTGTTTCTCTTTGTCATGAAGTGCGCGCGTTGAATAAGAAAACGTTTCGACAAGACCAGGATTCCTTCACTTTGGGATACGGTCATGTCGGGATACGGTCACCGTCGAACTGGAACTCTCCATGTTGTCATTTTGAAGGTCCAGGGTCCGGGAGCCTCATTCTTTGGTTGTCCAGGGTCCCCTCATTCCCAAACCCCCACACATTCCACTGTGCCCGAGCAGCTCGGACATGCTCGGGCTGCATACCCCCTGTGATCGGGCTGTGACCGGTATGTTACATACGGCCGAGACGGCTCCTTCGGTGGTTGGTTTCGGAGTCTGACGCTTGGATCCAGGCGGTGGACAACAAGCAAGGTCGATCTTTGGCAGGGTACTCTTCAACGGATGCAGCTCAAAAAGGATGCGCTTTTGTTGCTCGTAGCTGGCACCTACGCCCATTGGGGGTCAGAATGCACCCCCAGATCTTTCCTGTAACCATGCTTTGGCATCACGCAAGCCTTCACGAAACCACTCCTAGCAGAAAGTTCCAGTAAAACTGATGCCAATTTTTCACATGGATCTCCAGTTTTCAGGATGGGTGGGGTCAAGGAGGACTGCCACCAAAGCCTTTACAGATGTATTTAGGAGAGGCCGTAAGCGAAACTCCGAAGCTTGCAGGGTGAAGCTTTCCTTTGTTAATCTTGTTCAGTGCAACATTCTTCCTGGTCGCAGTTTCCTCGAATCAAGTCAGAGCCGTTGGTGTGATCGCCGCAGCTGTTCGTGGTTCTTGGTTTCTTGCTTTGCTCGTATGAAATTGCTTGTGGGAGAACAACCTTCCAGATGATGATGTTCGTGGTGTAGCCCTGGTTATTGGAGCCGAACACTTCCAATGAGTCTCAGCTACCTTGCAGCATCCCGCAACTGTAAGCAGCATACAGGAGCACCTGCTATGTCGTGCATTGGATGGTCCCCTCGTCAACAAGCAATATGCTCAACACTGAGATGAGAGCAGAAGGGATTTCTTCGAAGCTGCCAGCACCATGCCCAATGACCAGCTAGAAGTGAAGGACCAGAGCATGTCCAAAGAGCATGACCACTTGCAGTGAATCACCTTAGATTAAAGTATACATTCACAGGGTGTAGGGCTGTAGGGATTTAATCCAATTATTGGGGGTGATGAGTGGGACTCCCTTTGGGCGGTTGGATGGACATTGATTGACAGCACGATGATTCCCATTGTTTTGCCGCTTGTACTTGGGCCCGGACTTGCCGCATCCCCCAAACAAACATGACGTAAGACTGAAAGGCCCTGAAGGCTGACGGCTAGGGTCTAGGTGGGTAGGGCTAGGGTAGGAACCAGGTAGTAGTACTTGAGGGCATGCGGCTGCAGCATGATGGACATACCTATTACTCTACTGAGCAACACCCACCTTCATTGATGCTTTATTCAAGATTGGTTTATTCGTTTGAAAGCTGGTCAGGTACCACCCACTAGCAGCTTTCATTTTCACTGTGGAGTAGTAAGGGCCAAGCACTGGTTGTCCGCAAGGGACTGCATCGGGGCCAAGACATGAGAACCGGAAGTATTAGATTTCAATGACTTGCCGTGACTTACCTGCTAGATAACCCCCTCCAAGAAAGATCACCATAGCCAACCCATAGGAAATCGAAGACGTCCCACTGCAGGAATGAGTTCCTTTAGCCTTCTGGCTGTGCTTGGGAGTGGTAGCGCCAGGCGTGTGTGCGGAGTATGGGCGGAGCCAGGCGTCTTGTTTTTGAATTCAAGGAGGTCCCAGCTGGGAAGAGGCGGACAGTTTTAAGCCAGGTCATTTCAAGTCTTGTCAGCAGGGTGCGCAGTCAAGATGCTGTAGGAGAAAACAACCAAAAGAGCACGGAAACTTGCTTTCACATGTTCCCCTGAGACCTCCCAACTTCCTGGGATAGGAGGCAAACAGCGCCTCTCAACTAAGCGGCAGGCTGTCCTGTCATCACCGTCTGCCGCTTGCAGCATACCAGGCGCCACCCGAGCGGGGCGTGGAAAGGCGACCAGGGGCGGGGAGTCATGCAGGTCATTTCAACAGCTTCTGGTGGTAGCCAGTGCTCATGCGTGTTCGCATTTTTATCATCAGAAGGAGTCCCCGCAACAGGAGTCTGTTTGGAGAGAAGGCTTCCCACACAGGCCTTTGGGTTACACTTGGCCTGCATGTTGCCACATGTGGTGTGATTGTGTGAACTTGTTCCGAACAAGTTGAAGCCCATTTGCATTGCATCGTTACGAACGGAGCAAGGGCATCGCTATTAGTAGCAAGGGCATCGCTACGAGAAACAAGGGCATTACTACCAGTGACAAGAAGCTACTAGTAACAAGTGCA